AGATAGATAGATAGATAGATAGATAGATAGATAGATAGATAGATAGACAGACAGACAGACAGATAGATAGATAGAGATATAGATAGAGATAGATATAGATATATAGATAGATAGATATAGATAGATATAGATATATAGATATATATATAGATATATATATATAGATATATATATAGATATATAGATATAGATATAGATATATTCATTTTAAGTATTCTCTCCACTCCATCCTCACATTAGATGCAGAATTTATATCTGATTTGTGTGCAATGCCCGTTGTTATCCTTTATTTCAAATATACATAATAAGGTCAAATTCTCACCAGTGGCTGCAAAATTATTTGGGGGGGGGGTGTGTTTTCCTCCCTCCACCCTTCCAGAGATGAAATCTCCTGTAGCTCACCACCCATTCCTTTTAAAGAAGATTAAACTCCAAACTATAATCAACCATTGGAGATTTAAACTGAATCCAAATGCTGGATGGACACCCCGTCTAGTAAAAAAAAAAAGAAGAAGATGAAGCTTGCTTCTAAAGCCTCCCTCTTTCAAACTTTTATCTGGTTCTGCGCCATCTCCTCTGAAAGAAGAATGCTCTTATTTTGAAGTGCCTGTACCCCAGTTAGATTCATGAAAGCCCACAGAGGAAAGGTTGAATCTGAGTGCGACTAGGGAAGAGGGCGGTGGGTAGGGGGGTGCTGAAGAGACTGTAATTTCACAATTCTTGGGATGTTCTGTTTGGACGCCCAGCCCAACGAAGGGGGCAAAAGCAAGTTCCAGAGCCAGGAAGAGAAGTCGGAACAACAGATTGCAGGGAGCCCTTAGCTGCTCCCGCTTTCCCTGGGCGTCTAACACCTGGAGTACCCAACCGAGGGGAAGAGGGCGAGCGGGCGAGCGAGAACAGGACGGGACGGCGGAAGGGAGGGAGGGAGGGAGGGAGGGAAAGAGGAGCGTCTTTTCTGCTGAGCAATGGTGGCAGCGGTTTTTTCCTCGCATTTACGGACGTTCCCAACTTGACAAACCATACCGACCTTTGCTCTCTTTCTCTTGGCTTTCTGGGCTGGAGGCGGCGGCGGCTTCGGCCAGGCAGCTCCTCTCGTCCGGCAGCGCGGACTTAGACTCGGCACTTTCCACTTGGGAGGAGGCTTTGGCGGAGTTCTCCGGCTGGTGGTGCTGATGGCCGCCGCCGCCGCCTCCGCTGCTACCGTTGCCTGGGGCGGCGGCGGCGGCGCTGGGATTTTCATTCATTTTCTTTTCCATCGGAAGTTGCGAGGCGAGCTGCGGCTTGGAAGCGCCGCGCGGGTTTAGCTGCAGCAGGAGCGTGGAAGTGGCTTCAGGGCTGTTCTGGTACTCTTGGGCTTTCCCAGCGGCGTAGGTCTGGCTCAGTCTGAAATACCCTGGGACGGGGACCTCGGGGTTCTCCAGGGGACACGAGTCAGAGACTAACCTCTGGTAGGAAGGAACGTCGGAAGAGGAGGCCAACTTGGACCTCTTGTCCGAGTACATGCAGCAATTGGTTTCCTCCTTAATATTGGTCGCGAAGGAACAAGTGGGCACCTGCTGGCTAACAGGTTGCTCTATTCGGCACGGCCTGTTGGGATCGGTCCAATTGTCTACTGGAGGGATGTAGGGATGCGCGTTCATGCCCATATTTTGGTGGTTGGCTTCTCTTTTGGCCAGAGACGGTAGCAGTCCACAGGTTTGCATCCCGTACGTGCCAAGGTCTGTGCTGGGCGGCATGTACATGCTGGCGCTGTTGGAATAAAAGCTACTATCGCTCCTGCAGGCACTGATCAGGGAGTCGACTAGGAAGGTGTTGGCGGCAGGAGAGCTGTTGGGAAAGGACATTTTGGGGAGGAATTGGGAGAAGAGAGAGGGGGTCCTTTGTAGGCTGACATCTCCACGAAAACATTCCCGGCGTGTAATTGTGGATGCCTCCGCACGACCACATGACAGGCGAGCCAATGAGATTCGAAAACGGCCCGGGAGCCGCGACCTCCCCGCCGGTCACGTGCTCCCCGAGACACGCCGCGCTCCGGCCCAAAGGTGGACAACAGCGACACCTAGGATGCCCACGAGGAAATGCAGGCGCTCGGCCGGCCGGCCCGCCGCAGCCCCCGGACGCCTTTCTTCTCCTCTTCCTCTCTCTGTGTGTCTGTACCCCCCCCCCCAACCGCCGTTTCGGGGATGTGTGTATTTGCAAAAGTCAATCCCGCTGCACTCCGCCGATTTAAAAGAAGGTCATGCAATAGGCTGTTCTAATTCCTCTCCCCCCACGTTCCTTTTTATTACCACAGAAGCGAGTCAGTTGAGCCTGAATTTAAAGCAGTTTCCCGTTGTTTTGTTCCAGAAATGTGGAACACCTACTTCAGTTATAAGACTGGATAAGCTACCCAGAGGGTAAAAAGAGGGTGAAAGCATGCAAAATGTAGAGCATTGGTCATCAGCATCCCAGCCTGTTTCTGTCTCCAACTGCATTAGGGTCCACTTCCATAAACTGGCCTCCACTGGACCCTCAGAAGAACCGGCCTTAGGCCATACACACTTTTGTTTTCCTCTCTTCAAAATTAAAAGTCTTCTTTTTTTGGGGGGGGGGAATCCCCAACCAGTAACATCTCTCTGACAAAAAGAAAGGCATGGAGGGTGAGTTGGCAACAGAGAATATCTGCTTGCGGGATGTTTGTTTCCCCAGAAATGTCATTGTTTGGGAAGAAGGCAGGGGTGGGAAACGTTTGCCTTTTATGGCTTTTCTAAAAGCATTGGCTTCTGACAAGATCCGAAACGGTAACAGAATTGATTAATACAAATTAAGAGGAATCAGGGCGATCGATACAACCCTCATCTACATGCTCCAAGCCAGTTAGTAATTTTCTTGCTTCTGCAGCTTTTTCAAGAGTTATTCCCTCTGTAGCCACACGCCAGAAAGATACTTTATTAACTAATCAATCTAGGCTTTGTAAAGGATAAGATTAATAGTTAAGATTTAGCATAATAGTGTTCACATTATGAATTATTGAAAATTATACCATTGATTTTTCCTTTTTTCTCCTAACCGAGAAGGTCAACTTTTATTTTAATACAAATTGTCAGATATAAAAGCTGGCCTATTACGATAAGGGCTTACTCTGTTTTTCTGGTTCTCTCCACCCCCCCCACAAGTTTTATTAGATTAAAGAAAGAGTGGGGGGGAGGGAAAATCACAAACTGTATGTATGTATGTGTATGTATGTATGTATGTATGTATATATATACACACACACACACACACAGAGTATTGCAGAACAACAGAACAAAAAAAAGCTATTATGCTAAAAGGTACTTTACAATATTTTTTATATAATACTGGTGAACTGCTTAAACACCAATGCACGAACTTACCTAAAATAAAAGCAAACAGAACTATAGTTTTCTTGGCCTAACTTTATACATTTCAAAAATGGCAAGGATCTACAAACTGACCAAAATAGAACATTACCTCTGCCTGTTGGAAAATTTAGAGGTTTTGTCTTTCAATATACTTTTTTCAATATAGCTTAGGATAAAGTTTTGTCTTCTCTCTCATATGAACTAAGGTTAAAGAATGAATGGTTGTGAAATGGCTGGATTTTAATTAAAAATTTAGAACATGCTTTTCTCCCTTCTCCAGTCCTCTTCCTTCCTTTCCAAAGTGTATCTGATATGCAGAGTCCTGCATCCCACATGCATCCTCCATTTTTGAAGAATAAATATTGACATATTTGCGGCTATCAGCTTGTCTTTGTTAATTGAACTGGTTCCTTCTCTTTCTCCTCCTTTCTTTCCAAGGAAAACTTCAGTCAACCCTCAAATCCTTTAAAGGTCGATTCATAGCATCCTTGACCATTTATTGTTGCCAAATTGCTCCTTCACCAGCCTGCTGTCTTCAAAATCATTTTCTATCCTTGGGATTGCAGAGGACGGTTACCTTCCTCTTCCTCTTTCTCTTTCTCTCTCTCTCTCTCTTTCTCTCCCCCTCCCTCCCTCCCTCTTTTAAAAATACTTCCTTGGCCTTTTTCTGCACAACTCCCCCAGCTTAAAAAAAAAAAGTATCCCTGGGACAACGAGACAGACCTTTCAGAAGCTGATCGCAGCTGTTCAAATACAACATCAATGCCAGGTTAAAAGCGGCGGCGCCTTTTACTGCGTTTTGTCTGCAGGATCCATTGCGATCCGAGAGCCGAAGACTTTTAAACCTTCCTAACTAGATCCCCACCCAACACCATGCAGGTTTGGCCAAACTCTTTCCCATCCTTTAGGCGACTTTGGGCCGTGTCCCGCGTGGCTGTGGGGAGGAGAATTCAGACAAGAAGGCCCCCACAACTGGAGTCTGAGCGGCCGCCCAGGGTGGCGGCGGGCAGAATTCCTCTCGCTCACCTTCAATTTTGAGATCATTATCAGAGCCATTGCTAAGCGTTTGGCCGGGCTGGGAAGCAGACAAAAGTGGAGGTCACGACGCTCTCTCTTTGGGGGGGCTGAGGGTTTTATGGGCTTCCCAGCCATTTTCCTCCCCCACTCCCTTCTCCTCTGAAAACAAGAAGCCAGGCGGCCCCGCCGAGTTTAAAGCAACCCAATACCTCCTTTCCCCCTTTGCCTTTGCCTGCGCTTTTTAAGATTTTTGCCGTTAAATCTAGTCAGGGATTTTATTCCCATCAAACCGGCTCTTCCGTACTCCGCAGTCGTTTGAAGAAGGGCCCCCCGCAGTAGACCACCGAGTGGTTGTATTATGGTTTATTTTTTTGTTTTAGTTTACCTATTCTATTTTATTGGCGTTTGTAGCCCAGTTGTAAGGTGAAAACAGTAAGCCGGGACTCCCTCTCCTTTATATCCTAAGAGAATTTAAGGAGTTGACTTGCTTTCGATTTTGCTTTTTTTTTTTTTTTAAATTTGGCGTGTCGGATATTACTGCCCCAATTATTTGGGTCCAGATAAAGATGAATTGGGGTGGTGCCCTCCTGCTCCTAAGGAAACCTGGCCATGGCCAATGGCTCCTTTAAAAAAAACAAAAACACCTCCTTTCAGCTGAGAAGGCCAACAGAAGAAATGGGTATATAAATCCAAAGGTAACATTTGTGTAAAGCTTCCAGAGGGTGAATAAACATCTTTCTAAGAAGCTGATTCTTAAGACTTTGTGTGCTTAATGTCACTCAAGTTTTAAATCATATTAAGCCGGAATTGGAGTAATTAACACGAATAAATAAATCAATATTGTGCCATAAACAAGATATACAATATGCATTACGGCAAAGGGTTTCCTGTTGACTGTTCCATATTTTTTCCTCCAAAAGAGTGAAAGCCTTAGAAGCTCCATTTATATGTCCATGATTATTTGCAGTAAAATATGTGTTGACACTACTCTTTTCTACCTGAATAAATAATAGAATGTAAAAACTGTGTGTGTGGGGGGGATTGTCGTTGCTTAACATTTTAATTTTAATCCTTCAAATTTATGCCATGCGTTATACCTGGGCAGAGTTTTCCTACTCTCACTCCCATACACCCCGAATTCTTCCTGAGTTTTTTTCCCCGCTCTCCTTTTATTTGCCCTGAGTATTAAAATGGATAAGGGGAGACCCCTATCAATCGAGAAACATTAAACTATAAAAACACAAAGCTGAACTTTTGATCATTAAACATCACGGAAAGACTGAAATTGATCAAAAACAGACAGAACGTGCTAAACCTGTAATAGAGATTAACTTCTTTTCATTTCTTTCGGGTTGTTTTTTTTTTTCCTGTAGGAGGAATTTATAAACAGAAGCATTTGCTTACATTCTCCCTGGTGTGGAACTGGGTGCATTAGAAGATTTCCTTTTAATTAAGACCCATTAACATACTGCCAAACAACACCAAAGTGCCCCACTCGTAATAATATGAAAATTAAATTATTTCATCTTCCGGTTTATTCCACCCTATGCAACAGCCCAAATATTTCTATGCAGCCCAAATATTTTTATGCAGGGAGGGAAAGAGATATTATTATAGTATTGTGCAAAGCCAAAATTCAGACAAAAGTCCAGATCATATTTGGACAGCTTCCCCTAATTCTTCATGATTTTTGTTACACAAATGTTTTTTTTTTTAATAGGCAGTGCACAGGATCTCCTTAGAGAAATTCATATTTTCCCTTTGTTTCACAGCGGACGGGGAAGCTCGGAGTTCCATATCAAATGCTATAAGCCTTTTTTTCCAGAGTGGGGGGAGCAGGAAGGGGCCTGGCAAGATGGATTGGCTTATAGCTGTTTATATATAGTCTTTCTGTTCATCAGAAGCCCTGGAAAAAACAGGACATAAAGCTATTTGAGTGGCCGGGTAAGCCTTAGGTTTAAAATCTCAAGCCAGTGTAGTTTGGGTGTGTGTGTGTGGAATAGTCATCATAATTTAAAAGCTGATATAGACAGACAACAAAATAGATAACAAAATTTTCACTGACCAAGTTGAGAAATCATGAAGAGAAATCATGAAATAATAATCTAGCAAAACAAGCCAGAATCAGGATCGCTCATGTTTTAAAGTCCCCAAAGTGACAAAGCAAATATGATTATTTATCCAATTTAATAGGCAGACAGGCAGATAATTATACAACCAAAAAAATTCTTCAATTAATATTACATTTTAAAGGCATAATAGAAGCAGTAGAAGAAAGGATTCAGGGGAGAAATCTGCTGTCATCTTCACGTGATGGTTTACAGCACGTGCTTCAATAGAAGAATAAGGAAAGGCAACTAGGCGTTTTGACATTGTCTATTCTCAGAATATTATGCCGTTTTCTTTTTTGATTCAAGCAGGTAACTAATCAGTTCCCAGATTTTTTCATGAGTATTTTTTTAAAAAAAATATTGTATTTTTTAAAAAATTCATTGCTTTAGGTAACCAGAATAAC